TTTGGAGGGGGGTCCAGTCAAGGCGGCGGACCGCGAAAAATAAAGCATTTCTCCGGGGCCCGCACACCGCTTTCTCCCTGCCAAGGCGGCCGCCTCCGCCCGCCAAACCTCGGCCACGTGCGAAGGCCCCGTGGAGCAGCCTTCCCGCCCGGCCGCCCCTGCAGCGGAAGAGAGCGCCGGAGGCGGGCGCTGCAGAAGCGGCGCTCGACCGATTTATTACCGAAAAGGAAGGTCTGCGGGCGCAGGGAGCCCATGTTGTCCATATCGCTGTCCTCCATGCTGCTGCCGGTGCTGCTGCGCGCGCCTCGGAGCGCTTCCTCCACGCGCTTCGGCCGCCGAAGATTCGGGAGAGAGAAAGGAAAAAAAAAAGGCTCGAGCACTATGGCGCCGACGCAGCAGGAACAGCAACGACCTCTGGGAAAGAACCCGCCTTTTGCTCCCTCCCACCTATATGAAGCCCCAAATCTCGCGAGAGGTGACGGTAACCTTTGGCGGCTCAGCAGCCGCGATTTTACGCGGGGGCCTCACAACGTGGGTCAGAGTGGCTCATGCGGTTGGAAGAGGGTGGGGCTTGGTTACGTCAGTGTGCGCAGGCGCTCTTCGAAGTCGAATTGCGATGCTCTGGGAGAGGGAATTCTGGAGCTTTGGGGGAATTCCAAGGCGTATGTCGTTCTTCTCTACGCGCCTTGAGAAAGTCTTAATTTCCATACAATATAGGGAAAATTGGGTTTTCTTGTCTTGTCTCCCTGTTGTTTGGGTCATACGTCAGTAGCAAAAGTCACTTGGATTTCCAGTCTGCCTGTGTTTGTTCCACCTATTAATTCAGAACACTCTAGATAAATGCTTCTGAAAGTGTGGCCCTAGGACTCCTGGGGGGCCCCAAGACCCTCTCAGTGGCCCTCAAAATCAATATTATTTGCTAGCCTGTGTTGAAAAATAATACAATGTTAAAATTCCATCAAATAATAGTGAGAGGCAGTAGCAGCAGCAAACGCTTCAATTTTAATTTTTAATACATATGGTAAATATCAATAAATATAACCCATATAAACGAAAGCTCTTTTGGGGTCCTCCATAATTTTTAAAAGCGGGAAGGGATCTTGAGAGGAAAATGTTTAAGAAACACTGCTCTAAATCCATGAAACAGTTATCCTAGATCAGATTGTCACAGTCTTATGTAAAAGCATTTTATGCTTTCAGATATCAGATAATTAAATTTGATGAAGCATCGGGAATATATATTAATGCAATCCCATGTACATCCACTTGCTGTTGACTTCAGAAGGAACTTGGTCTCAAATAAGGATATAAAATCACAGTCTTAAAGGAGGGAAGAAAAGGATGTAATCATTTCAGTGTTATTTGTAGGCTATCCTGGGGTATGAAAATAAAAGGCTGTAATTTGTAATTGAGTCTGAATGTATATATACAGTAAGTAAAGTACAGTACAGTTCTTTCATTGTATAGAGCCACAGCTGGGAAGGTAGCCGAAGCAAGTAAAAAAAAAGCACACTTACCAACACTTATTTCTGCTGTTAGAGATAGCTCTAAATCTAAGAAAATCCCCCAACTGCAAACTTAGGCTGCATTTATATAACACACTGAATGGCCCAATCACCTTTAGCCACCATGTACCTAGCTCACATAATTAGTGTGTGGTTCAGTGTGGTAATGCAAACCCAAAAAATCAGGCCAATGGTTAAGTGTATAATGAAAATACAAATTTTGTATTTCAGGAAGAATGCAACTTTGTCCAAAGCATGTTTGTCTACAGGAGAAAAGCAGAGGGGTATTTGGGAAAAGACTTGAATGGATAGATGTGGGGAAAGGGCCAAGTGTTTTATCCTCCCCCTCCTTTTCCCCAGTATAGTTCTCCCCTCAAGACTCTGCTTTCACCTCATGCAGGAAGATGGTGGTCTGTGGTGTTGTTGCACTCTATGAACAGCTAACTGGGCTGCCCTGGGTGTTTACTTATTGGAGGCTGAAGACATACAGAAATTGCTATGCAGACCTTCATGCCATAGTTTGGACATATTGGAATAAATCTGTGTCAGCATGTACCCAGCTCCTCAAGAGCAGTTCTCATCTCTCAACCAAGAGTCAAAAAAGATAAAAGGGATGGTAACACTGGAATATGATCTGATGCTTGGTCATGCTGACGACCTGGATCTCATGAAAGGGAAGGCCTGTGCTTAGAAAGAGATCCACTTTCTAGGACAAGTTATGGCTGTGAGTATGCCTCAGAATAACTCATGCTATCTGACTCTGTATCGGGCTCCAATAGTTATTCCAGCACAGAGGATTCTTTCCAAGAAATGGCTAGGAAGAGCAAAGAGTTCATGAAGCAAGTGTTCTGTAGCTCCAATTTGCAGTCAATGTAGAACCCAGAGTGTCGTCCCTGGAGCTCAAATATAAAGCCTCTCCTTTTGGGTGAAGAAGTACAGCAGAAAAGGCCTTGCTTTCAATGACTTCTCATGAGCAAACTCTGTTGGAGGCATCAGAGGAGCTGAAAAAAACAGCAGTAGCCTTGCAAAATCTAAGAGCACAGTGTTCCTTCCTGCAGGGGAGCCCCACTGGAGCCACGGCTCTTGGCCCCTCAGCTCAAGCTGATTGTTTCTGACTGTAGCCAGCTGCTCTCAGCCTTTGAACAAATATATACAAATGAGCTGCAGAAGCACTGTGAGCACCCTGCTCCTAGGCTGAGTCCTTGTGGCCCCGTTTTCCAAACAGTCTGGTGCTCTGTATGCAGAAGCTGCAAAAAACCTCAGAATCCATCATGGGGACAGTAAAATGGTGGCATGAACAGAAGGTGTTCTGGAATGGAAGTGCTGTAGCCACACTGAAGCTTGAAGAACAGCAGCAATACAAGGCCAGCCCTGCCACCCTAAGCGGCTCTCAGGCATCCTGAACATGGAAGGACTGCAAATTGTAGGAAAAGTGTCCCGTCCTAGGAAGCAAATGAGAGCCTGACAAACATTGTCCGTTTTCTCAGATGTAAGTATATTTTCTCTAATGTCTTTTTTGAAAGTTAAATAAAGACTTCTACTTAGGATAAAAACAAAAAAACATCTGGAAGAAAACAAACATCAATGAAAAATCCATACCCCGGCATATTACATACCGTTTGGTCCTTATTCTAAAAGAGCCCTTTCTCTTCCTGCTGACATCTTCCTATGATGTTTTTTGGAATCTGCTATATCACTAGAGCACCAAGACACAGATGGCTCTTCTTAGAATCCAGCCAACCAAGACTGATTTAGAGTGCCCTCTGCACTCCAATAGCAAACCCTTAAAACAAACTTTTTTTTCTTTTTCATTTCTATGGAATACATCTGTGCTGTCCCTACTGAACTTCTATGGAATTGGGATAACAGCAGGTGGCGCTAGCAGAGCTTGAACGATTTAAATGGCAGCCATATCACACAATCCTTAAAAACACAAAACACTTTAAATAGATCTTCATACTTAACATAAAGCAGGAAAATAAATTGATTGTGGAAAATACACTGATTTTTTTAAATGGGAAAAAAAAATGATTTTTTAAAAACTACATTCAACTACATGAATAAGTACCACTGAAGCAAATTTAGATAATTTGATCTAACAGGTAATGCATGTATTAACTCAAATTCCGTCTTGGAGTTACTCTTCTAGTTTGCTACTGTCATGGTAGACATTTAACCATGATTTCTTTTTCTATTTCTTTTCTGATTTCTTTTCTATTTCAACTTCAAAACTGCTGCTGTGTGATAAGAAAAGGGAAAAATGGAATAGGGACCTAGGCTTTTTTCTCAGTAACTAAAGCTTTCTGGAGTACTGCTTGTTTGGTTCAAAGGAAGAAGGGGGGGAAAACTCTTGTACTAAGATAAAGATAAACTCTTGTACTAGCTTGCTATCCATCTAACAGTTTTTCTGCAGAGTAGATGACTGCAGGACTGCCCCTACCTGTGAGCAGTGAGGCTATGGCCTTCGGCAGCAGATGCTAGAAACACCTGCCTGGGCTGGGTTCCTTCAGCTGGGGGACAAATCTATGGAGACCATAAAACCTTTTAGAGTTTCTAATCTAGACTGTTGTACCTGCCCTGGTGGAGAACACTTTCCAACCACTGGCATTCAAGTAAGATTCAACTGCTAATCTTACTAGCTTCTGTACGTGGAATGAGATAGAGGCACTTTCTTGTCTTTTACCTCAGCTCCTAAAATGTTTGAAACCTGCCATGTATACTGTACATATTCTTAAACAGAGATACCACATAAGTTTTCCTCTGTAGTCAAAAGTAAACCAGTTGTTGATTTCTACCCACAGTGAGAATAAAGCCACTATTGCTTGCAAGTCCACCCTCGATCCAAACATCATCTTAACTGGACATTATTGTGTATCCAGAACCAACAAGAAACAAGATCAAAGGAGTCTGGGGAGGAGCATCTGGCTGTCAATCCAATAGGACTACAAAGGGCATAATATCATCCAGGGAGAGCTACAGATATCAGTTGAAGCTTTAAAAGCCCTAGAAGCAGGGAACATCCCAAGCCAGGGAAGAAATCAAGGTGTGATAATAGCCCAGATGATCCAAATGATTTGCAAAACTGCAAAATAATGTTTCTCAATGGATTCTGAATTAAAAAAGCAAAATGAAAAAGAATGGGAGGAAATCTTACCAGTATATTTTATTCAATGCTGTAATATGACTCTTTCTGAGCAATTAAATATTGCAAGTTTGTCATGCACATGTTTCCCTGATTTCTTGGAATCAAGTCAGGGTTTAGATCCTATGGAAAAAAAGATTTAGAATCTCCAGAACCATTGCCCCGAAATGCCCTATTACTGAGAACTGGAACAGTAAATGACCTTAATCTTAATGTATCACATCGCACTGTATTTTCAGTGACAGGCAGCAAAGATGTGTATCAAGTTTTTTTCATCGATATTCTCATGATTTTTTTTTCAACCTCTTGCAATTTTGTCAAGGTGCATTAACACTTTGTACTAAAAGCGCTACTTAAAGTTCTGAAAGAGCTTTCTGTCTAGAGCAAATGATTCAGAATTAGCCTTGTGTTCCATGGGTTATTTCCAATTGCATAGAAAGTGTTCTCCTCCAATCCATAAACTAGCAGAAAAATTAGAAAGTGCAGATTTGCTGTCCAATGCTAATCCCATTTGCCTTTGTCCTGGCTGGCAGCAAGAGGATAGAGTCCTCATTTCCTGGACAGGGTAGGCTCCCTGGTGGGGAATCCATCCGCCAGCCATACCATTTCCATGATTGTCAATGGTTTTGACAGATGGACAGATAAGCCATTGAATTTAGCCGACTGTCAACCTTTGCCCCCACTTTCACCTTTCCCAGGTGCCTGGGCAGGAAGTGGTGGCAGGTGCAGTGAGAAAGAAGGCTCTGTTCTCACTAGTCTTTGAGGCAATTCAGAGACCTGGAT